TTATTCCATCTTTTGCTGTAACATGGATCTGTATGTAACTCTATATTTACTTGTTATCTACCACACTTCCTTCTACATCATACACCATCATTATACATGATGGTGTATATAGGATATATATATTTGTATACATATCTGTAAATTGTATAATTTTACTTAAACGTCTTTTTGATCTCTCAAACTGAGTAAGATTGACAATAAAGTTGACTTTGAAAAATATATATATTCTTTATGAAAATAGTTGACTGTTGTCAAATGAATCCAAATGAAACGTTGGACTGAACTACAACTACGCCTTTAAATCTCTACGGACTGTTTTTCAGTGGGATGGCAAGTTCCTATCTTTAAACATTTATTAGTTTTTCTCAGAACAGATTTGATTTTCTGAAGTTAATTTAACTTTGCCGACCATGTAAGGTCATCATTAAAAGGTACAATCAATTTGTTTAGGGTTGACTAAAATAATGAAAAACATTCATTTGGATAATTTACTGACAGAATAAGAAACTCAATGATGCTCTACTCACCTGTTCCCTTTTTATAAAGTGAAACAGTTGAAACGATAGATTTTAGTAAACTTAAAAACAACCTTCTCCAAAAGCTATCAAGGAATATACCGAATACTTGTTTTAGAACTTTATTACATATTTTTATATAAATAGTTTGAATGATCCATAATTGACAGAAGCTTGTGTTTACACTGACCTGTTACTCATATATTAATGTATTTGTAACTTCAGTAAACCACTACCTCACTAATTTCTTTCATTCATCCAGGTTCAGTAAACTAAGTGATCCATGAACCAGTTTAATCATTATAATAACGTAGGATTGCAACTCTTTGAAAATGTATGTGGCTCTTAAAAGAGCTGTTGTGTTTGGGTGTGCTGGTCTCAGGTCAGTCTAAGCCCTCTCTCCGCGGATGCGGCGGGCCAGCTGGATGTCCTTGGGCATGATGGGGACCCTCTTTGCTTGGTTCATCTTACTGGGGGGCAGCTACATGGATGTCGGTGCAGTCCACAATCATTGCGCAGTTGAAGGCAGAATGAATTTATGATTGACTCCGAATGAAGCACAACTTCATGTCATACAATACAATGACTTTATTTGTAATTGTGTAAAAAAATATGAGCATTGATTAGCAAGCAGGACCTGCAGGAACAGAGAATGGTGATGGATGGAGCTGGGAAGAGAGAAGAATAAAGAAAACAGATCAACTTTATTATCGGATATTAAAAATTCAATTTCAAAACAAGTTGCCGCTCCTACAGTTTTCTAGTATGTAAAGATGATTTCACATGACCTATGCAAAATATCACACTCAATACATGTGTGTCTCTGGGGGGTGCATTGTGCCTTTGATGTATATAAATAATATATCATAACCAAATACTATTACGTACAGTGGAAATCAGGTTGCCAGAGCAGGTCAGTGTGCATGTTCCTCAACGTCTCAGCAGTTACAGGTGAGGTAAAGAAAATAAAAGAGAAAAAGGTCAGTAACAACACTTTAAAGTAACAACACTTTGAATAATTATCTCTTCTAACAATTTTCTCTCAATAAGCACACAACGACTGTCTTTCCAACAAACAGATTGTCATCACAATGAAACACGTCCAGAAGAATGTCATGCAAAGCTCCATGCCTGCCTTCGACTCTCCCTGAACTGCTTCCTTAGCACCCGGTGGAGGGCGCAGTAGGCTACTCTTCAAAAGTTTCACGAAATACTTACCATCATGTTTGGTTACTGTTTAACATTTTGGTTTACTTCATGTAATAAAATAATAACTTCATGGTAAGGCTACTAAAAATGACAAGGCTAAGTAATGTAATGCTAACTAACGTGCTCGCTACTCGTCGCTACTAGCTAGGTAGCTAACTTGACTATGTTCCATGCCCAACATGTATATTACCTATGATATTACCTGATATGTCTGATCCAGCGACTCCTGGTCCTTTCATCAGACGGGAATCGATAGAAGGAGCAAGTGGTATGATCACTTTTATGACTACAACCTGGTACAAAGCACACAGGCATCTTGTAAAAGTGAATTTATTTTTAGCGATCTATAATTTATTGGAGGGAATAAATCAGTTATGAGATCTTCTTCTTCTTCGCTTTAATTACGAGTCTTATTATAAATCACCGAGCATGCCTGTGACATCACTTACGCGACCCAGAATGGGATTTGGGATTTGTAGTCTTTGTAGTAGCGTATTTTTCATAGTCTTATATTTCAGCAGTTTTACGACAAAATGTGACTTTTTTGACATGGAAATGATTGTTTAAGATTGACAAACATCATATGTGTAGTTCGTGGCACAATTCAAACGGGATCAAAAGATACGTGTTCTCTCTCCATTGAATTCAATGTAAATTTTTCGCTTCCGGGGTCCCATGGTCCGGAAGTAGATGGGCGTGACTTCGCCTCTCCATAATACATCCATGTGACAGAGGCGTTGCAGAGTAGAGATGGGCGAGTCATGATTCATCCGGATCATTAACCCGGATCCTAGTAATGAGCCGGTCGTGACGAGTCTCCCTCTCGATTAACCCGAGTCCTTTGAGTCCTACACCTGATGTGACGTAACAATTAAAACTATAAATTGCGTCACTCTTTACTCTCTTTATAACGTGTACAATCACATTACAACGTTGTTGTATCCAGAGATCCAGCAGACTCGTCGCCATGCACGAATCAACAGCAAATTCAGCCCCTCCTCCGGCTCCCGCGAGAGTCCCGTGAGCCGTGAGTGAGCCGTGAGTCGTTGGACTCGCGGGAGCCGTGAGTGAGCCGTGAGCCGTGAGTCCGCAAATCTCTGAGTCTGCTGCGACTCGTCAAGGGAGCCGTGGGACTCGCGGGAGCCGTGGGACTCGCGGGAGCCGTGCGAGCCGGAGGAGGGGCTGAGTCTGCTGTAGATTCGTGCATGGGGACGAGTCTGCTGGATCTCTGGATCTGCTGCCTGCTATATGTTACGGCTCTGAGTCCTCGTAGGCTACTGGTCTCTCTCGATCATTGACCTGGATTCACGGATCCCGCGATTTTTCCGGCTCTAAATTAAGTTTCAGTGTAGACTTCTAACAAAATGGTCATGTTGTGCAACAGTCTCCTGTAATAATATCTGCATTTCCAATAAGGATCTTACTTGGAAACTCGTTTATTTTGAACATGGCACACAAAAAGAAACAAATGATAGAAAATTGCAAAACAGTTAGAATATATAAAATGTAATTATACAATTATTATTATTATTATTATTATTATTATTATTATTATTATTATTATTATTATTATTATTATTATTATTAAATGAAAACACAATTGTGCAAAATTAGCTTAAGTACAGGAACATATTAAAATAACTATATACATATAATGCAAAACACTTATTTTTTTAAATGCACACACACACACATGTTTTATTAAAGCAAAAGACACTGTGTAGCGGAGGTTAATGTAACGTTAGTTTAATATGCTGGTTAAATGCAACAACTTTTCGGTTTCACCGGTAGGATTTCTACGGTCTTGGTCATGCTGACTCATATGACTCAAATGACTCAAATGACTCGTATGATCCGGATCTCTTCAATGATTGACTCAGAAGACTCCGAGTCCATAAAATGATTCGGATTTGCCATCTCTATTGCAGAGGCGCCGGGCAGGAAGTGGACCGGTCAGAGCATCCGGCCCATCCCCAAAATAAACTAATTTTGCAGACCCTATCCCTCTTTCAAGTAGAGGAGAAATGCCAGCGTTCTCCTAAATAAATGCATTTTTTTTTACCACTAAAATACAGCAACACATCTTTGATTCATGTCGTTTATAAATGGGATATTACAATTATTATTAACTTTGTCTGTACAAAGTAGCCTGTCCAGGAAATATGCCCAAATCAACAAAAACTGCGAGCCGGCAGGCAAGACGCTCCGCTTCTGAAACGCGCTCGGTAGGGTATGACGCCGGAGGAGGCCGGACCAAAATCGCGGCGCAGCCGTGACGCGTCGCAGACGGACCCGGTGGAATACGGGGGTAACTGTTGCTAGCGGAAAGCTTGGAAATCCATTTGCTCTGTCTCGATTTTGGGGGGTTATATTTTTTAAATGGTTCAGAGAGTATAAGGTCAGCAGTAAACTCCAACTTCTGCGTCTAAAATCGAGGTAGCCTACTTGTAATTTACTTGAGTATTTTCAAATTAAACTACTTTATACTTTTACTGCACTACATTTATTTTAAATATTTAGTTTCTAGTTACTTCATAGATTTAGGTTAATGCAAAAATATAAATCGACACATTCATTAAATACATACATTAATATAGCTAGGCTAAGCTACCTAACCTAGTAGTGTATAAAGTAATCCAAATAAACCCCACCTTCACCAAGTAGGCCACGACACTGAAGTGATGAACACATAAGTGCCGATCATTTAAAAAAATGCTTTTGTTTAATTCTGCCTTTCTGCATAACGATTACTTTCACTATTGGTACTATTTTGATGCTTATACTTTTTTCTTTTAAGTACAAATTTGAAGGCAGTAGTTTAACAGAGTATTTTTATACTGTAGTATTGCTGCTTTTATACTTACATTAATAATCTATTTAGTATATAGAGTATTTCTTCAACCTCTGCTTATTGTTTCTTTAAATTCTGGGTCAGGTATACTATTGACAAATATGTGAGACGTGCTTACTGTTAAAAGTTGTTGGAAACAATCTACAGACTGCCAGGAAAAGAATAAATCTTCTTTTTCATCCTGAGATTAAGAGTATCAGACTGGATTAATTAAAGTTGACATTCGGAACAAACAATAACCTACCTCACACGCCTATGTGCCCTGCCTGCCAGCCGTTATATCGGACAGCAAACCTGAATGCCAGAGCCTCCACGCCCTGTGCGGTCACACCTGTCATGATGGACGCATCTTCCCACCCACCTGTTCGGCCGCTCCCACCTCCGGGAAGGAGGCTATAAAGTGCATCCTCTGGCCGCCTCAGCAGCATCTCCTCCCGGGTTAGACAAGTCCAAGTGAACGTTGCACCTGAGTCAGAACAGAAGTCATCATGTCCACCTTTCACCGTGGGTTTACCAGCTCTCCCATGTCCTGCACGAAGACCGGCTTCAGCAGGGGGTCTAGGAGCGTGTACGGCGGTGCAGATGGTAGAAGTGTCCGCGTGTCCTCCGTCTCCAACGGGCTCGGCGCTGGTTTTGACTTGGGATGTGCCCTCGGGGGCGGCAGCAGTATGGGCATCTGTGGCAGCGAGAAGCAAACCATGCAGAACCTCAACGACCGCCTGTGCAACTACCTGCAGAAGGTGCGCGCTCTGGAGTCCGCCAATGCGCAGCTCGAGTGTCAAATCCGGGAATGGATGGCTAAGCAAGCCCCCTGTGCCAGGGACTACAGCAAGTATGAGCAAATCATCGAGGACCTGCGCAGAAAGGTAAGATCTCCTTAACTAATGTATAGAAAAAAACGACAACCTAATAAATGTTATTTAGTGCCTTTTCCCATCTTTTAACGAGCCTCAAGCCATTGTGTTATGTAATATGATATTATTCTCCTGGTAATCTTAAATAATAACCAAATCATTTAGTATTTCTAAAAAACAAAACAAATACTTTTCCAATGTGTAAACTATTATTGTGAAAACGCCAAAGATTATAATACAACCCATTATAGATCATCTATAGACATATCATATTTTACATTTTCCACCATATTGAGTCCTCTTACTGTATTTAGACACACTATTTAGTATACAGTGCTATCACATCAGTTATTATAAAATATCACATACGATATGTGAGTTAATGTCATAGAGCAGTGTTTTTCAAAGTGGGGGCCCGACCCCCCCAGGGGGCCGCCAGGGGGGTCACGCAAAGTTTGAGGGAAACATAATTTTGTATTTAAAAAAATATAAATGTTTTTTTAGATGTTATTAATAACTGTATATCAATCAATCTATGTGTCCTTTGATGCCAATCTTTTAATATTTTTTGTTTTTGAATCACACGGACACCCTTCAAGCCAATACAAATCGAGCTGCCCCTGAGAATGAAAATCTGCTCAGCTTTTGGAGCAAGTGAGAGCTAGTGAATGTTTCGCTCTGCAGCCGGATGAGAGTAGGGATGTAGCAAATGTCGCAGAATTGCTTGCATACATCAGATTTATTTCAGAAGACAACTTTGTTGAGGAAATATTATTTTGTAAAGCACTGGAAGGTAGGACCACATGAAGAGACATTTTCCAAGTTTTAGATGAGTACATCATCTCAAACGGACTTGACTTGTCTCGTTGTGTGGGTGTGTGTTCAGATGGGGCAGTGGGGCTATGACAGGCAGAAAAAGCGGAGTGACAGCTTTGATCAGGCAGAAGGCCCCAAATGTAGTGGCAACGCACTGCATGCTCCATCGGGAGGCACTTGTACACATAATTTTTTTTAAAACAGGGGGGTCCCCGCCAGAGGATAATGCTATATGGGGGTCCTTGGCATGGCAACGTTTGGGAACCCTTGTAAGAGAACGGGTTAGTTTGGATTTGAAAACCATCACTACTTTTTCTTTGTTTGTTTCTAACTACCGCCAAGAAGCACTGCCCAGAGGGATGTTTGACACATGATGAAAAAAAGTGATGCAAGTCAGGCTTAAAAAAACACTCCACTGTACGGCTGACCAGCCCACATTCCAAATACCGAATCACTTACACACCTTTGTATATTTGTATATTATATGTGGATAATAGACTTCTGACTTGACTTGTCTTCCTTTTAGATTTATTGTGCGTCACTAGACAATGCCAGGCTGATGCTGCAGATTGACAACGCCAGACTGGCAGCAGAGGATTTCAAAATGAAGTGAGTAGAAATGTTACATAAGAACTTATCAACCTATGTAGCATAGTTTATAATGACAAATGTCTGGAACTTTGCAGATGCAATAATGCTTGTTTGGTATACTTATGGCCATGTGGGCTTATTGTCACAAGGGTGTAATGGTCAACACATTAAACTGGTGCAACTGGTTTTAGTGGAGCTTCCCCTTTTCTTTTTTGTTATTGCTGGTAACTCTAACTGAATGAGTGCAGCAACATGATCCTCTTTGCCTTTTTCTTGACAGGTATGAGAATGAGCTGGCAGTGCGTATGTCCGTGGAGGCCGACATCATGGGACTGCGCAAGGTTCTGGATGACCTCACCATGGCACGGTCGGACCTGGAGATGCGGGTGGAGGGCCTGAAGGAGGAACTGCTCTACCTGAGGAAGAACCATGAGGAGGTGAGAGTAGTCCAGTTAGGAATTGCATCACATCCTTACAGTGAGCTCAGCAGACCAATGTTCCAAAGTACACAATAAGAAAACTCCAGTCTCGTTCAATCTTTAGGTGATCAGTTTTTGGGTGCATTACTGTGTCTTCAAGTATGATAGGCACAATATGATTACCTGGAATGTACTGTTACAAATTTGAATGTGGAACGCTGGATACTTAGCACCCTACGCAGTCGCTATTTCAGCTACGTAGCAGAAATAGAGGGACCAGCAGTGGTTGTTGTTGCTCATGTGAACACTGCACTGTACAAATAAAAGAAAGCTAATGTAACTTTTGCAAAACACTCCATGTTGCTAAACGCTATCATTTTAAATTTAAAAAAAGGAGTGAATGGAAGTACAATTACAAATTGTAATTAGGTCAGTAAACTCACACAGCAACTGCAATAACACAATATTTATCCATCAAAAAACAGATAACGCTCGCTAACATTTCCAAGTTTCATAATGGTTTTATCTTTAACCTGACTTGACCTTTGTTGTCCTGCCTGTAGGAGATGGCGGCAATGAGTGGCCAGGTTAGCTCTGTGAATGTGGAGGTGGACGCCGGGTGTCAGGAGGATATGTCCAAGGTCCTGGATCAGATCAGATGTCAGTATGAGGGCATCGCTGAGAAGAACCGCCGTGAAATGGAGGCCTGGTACAAGGCCAAGGTGAGGGGAGCGATGATACGCTTTATGTCTGCATCTTATTTCATTCAAGAAGAGTCGTCAATATCAAGGTATTACCCACACATTCATGTCTCATTTCTTGTTTTCTAGTTTGACGAACTCAACCAGCATGTTGCAGCCAGCACAGAGACCCTCCAGACCTCCCGCACTGAGATCAACGACCTGAAGAGGACCCTGCAGGCCCTGCAGATCGAGCTGCAGTCCCAGCAAAGCCTGGTAAATCAGATATACAGATATTCTTTTTTCAACCACAATATAAACTTCCTAGCCTTTGCAATATACCCACACTATAAATACTCAGTCAGTCAGTAAACCTGTCAGTCACTGTTTTTATGGCTTCTTTACTTCAAGGCGTCTTTTTGTAAGTGACTTAGGTAGATAGAGGAAATGAAAAACAAGATATTAGCACTCAGTATCCACTTATATCTCGTCCTGTTGTTCTGCTCCTGTGAAGAAATGTGCCTTGGAGGGCCAGCTTTCAGAGACGGAGAACCGCTACAGCCAGCAGCTGAGCCATCTCCAGAACATGGTCTACTCCCTGGAGAACCAGCTCCAGGAGATGAGGAAGGACATTGAGAGGCAGTCCAATGAATACCAGATCCTGCTTGACATCAAGACCAGGCTGGAGTTGGAGATCGCCGAGTACAGGAGGCTGTTGGATGGAGGGTAAGCAGTACTCAAGTTGTAAAAATAAATCAGGGGGGATGGTGGATTTTATCATATGGGGACATCATTTGTGCTGATAACCCGCCGAGGGTGGGAGACCAACCAGCCTAAAGATAATTATTATACTCCTAAAACAACATGCATGTTATGGATGTTCAGATACTCCTTTCATTGCTCTTGACCAAGGCACCTCAGAATTAGAGTCGGTCCCCGGGCTGCCATGGCACCACTAACATTTAGGGTCAAATGCAGAGGACAATTAGTGCAACATCTTTTTTTCACTTTAATTTAAAGGGGGGGGGGGGGGATACACAAATGTGGTTATAATGGAAGTCTATGGTACAAATCTTGTAGGTTAACAGTCCCTCGTTTATTATTCAGATGGATCAACTGATTATACTAATAATAAAGTCAAAATAGTTTTTAGAATATTGAATTATAGTGTATTTTTTCAAAAAAGCAGTTACTGGTATACGATCAAAACTGGTATCTAAAGGGTTACATTTGTATCGTAATTAATTCAATCATTATGTAAATTCTTCATGAAAAATGTGAGGAAAAAAATTAGAAAAATATTGATCCGTCATCATTTTATTGCAGTTCAAATACAAATATTTGATGTTAACATTCCCAATGTTACTTTTTTTAACAGGGCATTAAGTGCAAATTGAAATTGTTTACAAAATATGAAAATATATTAAAAGATTATACTGATAATACAAAATAGGACCAATGTTGTTAATGGCTGCCGACTCCACTCTCCCCCATCTCATAGAAGTTTCCAAAGATTTTCATAATCATGCTTTTTGGTCTCAATTTTTCTGGCTCTTGCTTTCGGATTGTTAGCTAAGCAATGGCTTTGAAGCCAAGTCTTGACATACCTCTGGTCTGAACTTGTTCAGTGGAGGGCCAACACACTTGATGAAAAGCAAGGCTGACATGCTTTTTACCTCTAGCGAGCTTCTAGTTGTGGTTAAAATGTTCATCTGACTAAACGTTCACACTCAGCTGTGGAGATGACCAGAGTGTTCACTGCTTGAAGGAGGGGTTTCAGCTCTTCTGGTGCTGGTGGTATCATTTCATCAACAGTTTTGAGTCTGACCAGCTAGCTAACACGAGAGAAACACGTAGCTAAACTCCAAACTAAGTTGTTATTGCTGCTTATGTCCATAGATTCCACCTTTGGTGACTAAAGTCATGAGTAATTACTAAGATTACTGACTCTTGACTTACCTGAAATGTTATTTTTAGTATTTTTAAATATGAAGTCCCTCAGATCGCGTTGTCCTCCTGGTCGCTTGGCCATTGTGACGACCGTTACCTGCGCTTCTGGCATCGATCAAACAGGCGCATCACGGCGCTCTGGCGCCCTCTAGGGCACTCGCATAGTATAGCGTCAGTGACTTGGTAAAAATGTCATTGCGTGTGTGCGTGCTCCCTCGCCCACAGTATTTTACTCAAAATGCGCAAAATTAATGTTGAAATAGCAGTAATACCAGTGCCACGTTCATTGATAAAATTACATAAGGGATGGAAAGGGGGAATGGCAGTTTTAGAAGGGGGATGATTTTGACCGTTTTTATTTCAGGGGGGATGCCATCCTAAATTAACTATCCAATACTCTAAATCAATATTCCCTACAAGTTGTATAGTAATTGTGAAGCTACATATAAGAGACAGTTAGCATAGCCCAGCATAGCATGAATAAAAGCTATGGTTTATCTAAAGACCGCAAAATCCGCCTTATAGCACATTTTAAATTCACTAATTGAAACCTTATAAAAACAGGTATAATATGTTAACGAGGGAGCTTTAGAGATGCTCGTAGACTTTTCTTTACCTTCTTTTCACAAGCTAACTAACTGGCTGTAACTTCATACTTAGCACGAGTGGTATCAGTTCTCTCATTCAAGACTCAAAAAGGGACTAAAAGCTATTTCCCAAAATGTTGGACTATTCTTTCATACTAATAGGCGCGTTCACACCGCAGTACTTTTCCCACTTTAGTCCCAGCAGCTTCTACTGAAGCCAGTCCCTAACTCCGGGGGACTTCTAGCCGGGGACTCCGGGTGGCAGTATACGCCGTGAAGTGGTTTGCGGACTGCCAGTAAACCCAAAGCAGAAGAAGACGAAGTGACGTCAGCGGCTCATTTGCCTAATCCACCCTCAGGGAATTTATTCCGGTGTGAACGCGATCTGTACTTAGTTCATGAGAACTAAAGAGTTCTCATGAACTCCTGGGAGAGGGATCCCTCCTCTGTTGCTCTCCCTGAGGTTTCTCCCATGTTCCCTTTAAACTGTGGGTTTTCTCTGGAAGTTTTTCCTTGTACGATGTGAGGGTCTAAGGACAGAGGGTATCAGGACAGAGGGTCTAAGGACAGAGGGTCTAAGGACAGAGGGTGTCGTTTTTCTCATACTGATATTCTGAACAATCTGTGCTGTTGTATTTGCTGTAAAGTGTCTCTACTGTAGGCTAATTTTATTATATGTACAGCACTTTGGCTCGACCAAAAATCGTTTATAAATGTATGGTTTTAATTGTAACTTTTGAATATTTTCCAGAGGAACTCCCAGATGTGGAACTGTGACAGTCAAAGAAGTTGTCCAACAACAGGAAGTCGTTGGTAGGTTTACATCACTGACATCACTTTTTGCTCTTTGCTTGTAAAAATGTAATATGTCACTTATTAAAGTTTGTTTTGATTCTCTTTGCAGTTAAACCACGCATTGTCCAAAGGAAAATTGTGGTGGTTGAGCAGATTGTTGATGGAAAAGTGGTGTCACGCACAGAACAAGCCCAGTGAAACATGATCAACACATCTGATGTCCCTCCCAGCTGAAGACTTGCTATGTTTTTGTCATTGTCTAAGCAATGGAAAAGGTCAATAAAAAATACTATGCATTTAATCTTCTGTCAAATATTGTTTCAAAATGAATCAATCACATGCAATCACAAAAATTAAATTAGACCGTTGACCAAGGGTTTGCCAATCTCTGAGATGTTAAGAATGTTCTTAATTAGGACCAATCTTCCCATAAATCTTGTGCAAAATCTATTGTGAAAGGGATATTTTCAATTTCCTAATAAACATCTTTCTTCCACTAGTTTGTATGTTGAATCTATTTTGTCTTCGTTTAAAGAAAGAAAGAAAAATCCATATGTATTAAAAGTCACTGCCTTATCAGTTTACCTCCATGCTCTGTAGAGCGTTTCTAAAAGGCCACGTGTGAAGGACCAGGGTGTGCGGAGAGCAGGTTAAGGTTGAACAAATAGGGATTAGCCAACATATATATATACAGTGTTTAGGATGGGTAACACAATCAGTTAAGATGGAAGAAGGTTCATTTTGTACAATATAAGGGCATACAAGCCTCTCCAAGCAGCCACTGCACTTCCTCTCCAATATGTTCAAAACGTTCTCGCGGTATCAACAGCTATTTCAATTCTCTCTGATTGTCTCTGTGCCTCAGCAGCACAGTTGATCACTGTTATGGAAATTTGAGACCCAACACTGTGGAGAGTACAAGTCAGAGTGATCAAAACTGTGGAGTGATCTGTGGCCTTGAAGTGTGGCCTTGAAGTGCTTGGGAATAAACCCACAGTGGAGTATAAGAAGAAAACAGCACATCTCAGGAAATGATAGGTGTTTTACAATGTGTTGAGAAGCATTTGGTTTAAGCATATAAGGATATAATAAAAATGTCCACTACATCACCCTGTCCAAAAACAGTAAGAACTCAATTTGATGACACAAACAGTCCTCCTCATGACTCCTACCTGCTGTACACTTCCTATTGTATAGACTTTTCACTTTCTTTGCTTCTTCTTTGTAATTTATTGTTTAGTCTGACCTATTCTTGATTCATTCCCCCCCAAACTGACTACAATGGGCTCATTCTCACAGGTCTTCCACATTTGCCAAAAATCCCTAAAGCACATGGTGTACAATGAGCTGTGACCAAACTCGCTGTATTGGCTCGGGAACAAACATCCTCACTGGGTAACTGATACGATATACTTTATTGTCCCCGTAAGGACATTTGTTCTGGACTCCGTCCTGCAGTTCCGCATACATGTACATGTACAAACATAGTGGACATTAAGAGACAGACACATATCATCAGTCATACACCGTTTGAACAAACACAATACACAGACGCACATACTGACAATGGCGACCTATTGCACGACCCCTCATGGCCAACATTTAAAAAGTACATTTCATTACATTTGACTACATTTCATTTCATGTGAATGTTAAGAAGCGTAATGGACATAGGTAGGAATGAGTGCTTATAGCGGTTCAGCCTGCTCTTGGGAACCCTGCATCTTCTACCAGAAGGGAGGAGCTGGAATTCTGATGTGATCCCGGAATACTTTGTCCGGCAGGAACTCTGCACAACAGTGTCGCATAACTGATCATGTGTGTTCTCCATCACTCATCCTGTACATTCTGTGGCTGTCTACCACTCTGTCACAGCTTTTAAATCTTCTGGTATCAAGTGAATATGGTATTCCATCGACGACACCTTTTAGTGGAGCTTTCGCTGAAAGTTTGAAACTCGACACATGGTAATCCTCCAATGTTGTTAACGCTTTCTTTAGCTGTGTTTGTGACACACATCCAAGAATGACCAACCCACTTCTCTTCACGTCGACTAACTGTACATAGCCAAGTTGGTCCATGATCCAACTTGCTACCTCGTGCTTGTCACACAGAACTCCAGCTACATTGATCCCAATCGGTTTTATTCGAGCCAAGTAGGTTTCTTATTCATCTTTGTTGTCATTATTACCTATGCCACTTGACACATGTTTCCTTCCCGGTCTTGTCCAGCTGCTCCATCACATGTGTCTACTTCCATCTTCCTTCCGGTCACGTACATCTGCCCACGCCCATCACTCTACACTGTAGGAATATACACAATGCTGGCCAGTCCATAGTTGAGTGCAGAGAAGAGAAGACTCTTTTCTACTAAAATATGGGTGTCTTAAATGAAGTGGCTTCCTTAAACACCCCTCCAGCTTTAGGAGAATGGCACAGTCCAATGAACCATGACAAAACTGGGGTTTACACAACACACAATTAACAATCACTTAATTGAACAAGATTGCCTGCACTCAATCTACTGTGTCTGCGTATGAATGATTTTAAACAAAAGCAACTGTAGTTACAGCCTTCACACATGGTGAGAGAGAATATTTAACCACAAAGATGTTACTGTATAATTATCCATTTTTTCAATCTCAATTGTTTTTTGAGACTAAGGGGGTGGTCTTTCTTTTTACTAGGTCAAACCTAAAGTTCAGTCACCTTTCCCATCCAAATCATTTTCGTAAAGGTCTCTTCCTCTGTCAGATATAACCAAAAGCTTCTGGTCAGGGTCAGCTCTAGAACAAATCGAATGGGGGGGCAATCATTTACCAAGGGGGGGCACACACTGCCGTCAACAACCAACACACAAACACCAACGCAACTTCAATTTCAAAAAACATGCTGTAAAGTCTGTTGTCTTTCACACACATTGCAGGGTGTAGTGCTATTGTATAGCGCACCTATGACTTCTGCATACATGCACGGTTGTGGCACGACCACCAAAACAGAAACATATAAGGACAGAGGTTGTCGTTTTCTCATACTGATATTCTGCATAAACTGTGCCGTTGTATTTGCTGTAAAGTGTCTTTACTGTAGGTTATTTATTATTATATGTACAGCACTTTGGCTCGACCAAAAATCGTTGAAAAATGTGCTATATAAATAAAACTTGATTTGATTTGATATGGACATAGGCCAACATATAAAAAGTGTGCAAATGTATTTAGTATCCTGTCCATGTGAACATGTTTTAGGTGGGGGTGGACCTAACCTCCTCTAGGAGGGTCTGGGGGCATGCTCCCCCAGGAAGATTATTTTTAAAATATTGAAGTTAAAAGCATCAATCTGGTGCACTTTGAGAGCAAAGTGAAGAGATCTATGGATAGTCTACATCTCTCAGCATCCATAGGAAACAGAACTGTACAGATTTACTTTTTCTTTATGGATATTTTACTAATCACTCCCCTTTAAACTGTATTCTTGTGTTACTGTCCTATAGTATTTCATACCCGTTTTTCATTTATTCTCTCTTTAATAACTATAATGATCATATAAACTTAAGGTATTCCTCGAAAATACTTACATAAATGGTGACCAAACCGTTTGAGACCCACTGAGATAAGATAACTTACACTAAAGTGAACTATCTAAACACTGAGAGAGTCCTTACCTCACTGAGCTGACGTTATAAGATCCTCTCAGTCTGACCGGAGAGGACTCTCCTCCACCTTGGTGTAGAAACAGCCCTTTATATCCGTTAGCATAGCTAGCTAACCAGATGCTAACAACAACATTCCACGTTACCGCTCGCGCACTCACAAAATGCGCTCGTGCCATACACACACAGAGCTTGAATGAAACACAGAGACCCATGTACTTGTACTGTACTGTATATCATATTATTTTTGATGGCTTTACTGTATAATCAGTGTAACAGATGAACAGATCGCCACTGGGCTTTCATCTAAACACTCAGCCACGTAATGATAACAAAAAAAAGGTCGGGGGTCATTGGTCAAGCAACATACCAATCAGAGAGCAGCAGTGAGCACACCTCAGGCTGTGTTTTATATTTGTATTCTTTATTTCTGATGTATTTCACACAAAAAACCTTTAGTGGAAACGTTTTCACTTATATGATTAGAAAAAGAACAAAACGGCAAAGTGGCAAGGCTTGCCCACCCTGCGTTGGGGGGGCACAGTGACTCATTTGGGGGGGGCATGGCCCGCGAATGACCCCCCATGACGCCGACCCTGCTTCTGGTTGCTAATTGTTAGCTAATGTTAGCAAACTTTAGCTATATATTGCAATGTGACAGATATAAACTAGGCATACTGGACAAGTTGGCCCACGTTGTGACTTTTCCACTCAATAATCTGCAGTATACCTTCGTTAACCACTAAATTCCGTTTAACAAAGTCACAGTTTGGCTTAAGCTGATTTAAAACATAATAGTAAACTCTCTCCCTGCATATGCAGTGTTTCTATCTGTCCACTAGATGTCGGTATGTTCACTTTATTTAGGTGTTATGTCGAGTAGACAATGGCATTGTATATACTTCTTGGTCAGAATGTAAAAATAAGTGTTGAAAAGGAAAAGAAGTTCTGTGACAGGTCCTGGAAAACTATTATCCTTGTCATAAATTGTTTGACATTTTGCAAAGCACCTCAGGGCTACACATCATACTTTCTTTTCATAAAACAAATAGGAGTGCCAGACAGCTGTCATTTGGTGTTACTGTACGTACTATAGAACAAGGATGGGCAAATATTTCAAAGATGCCAACAAGTTTGGAACTTGTTTTTAATATCGGCCCTGTGATGAGTGTGGTCAGCAGAGGCTGGTGCAGGGGTGTGGGTTAGTTAGAGCTGATTATTGAAAGTGAGATGAGGCTCTTCTTTGAGTCATCTAATGTTCATAGCGTGACAACATGAAGAACCCAAATCACCCTGTCAGAACAGCCTGAACAAAGCATTCTGGGACATCAGAGGTGCATGACACAGAGACCTAAGCCATAATGTACAGATGATTTCCCCACATGACAAATTATATATGATCTTTAAACTTTTGTTTTATTAGAAAATGAGTGATATGATGTCATAAAAGCTTGACTAGGCACAATTTGGAAATACCATTGATTAAGGCCTGTCATTAAAGGACTCACAGATTTACTCAACTCATTACATTTACTCAACTCATTAAATTCAACACTTTGTTTTACTTTTAAACCTGTAAAAAAGAAAGAAAAACACTGACCGAGCTATGCCTGAATCCTTATATTCCACAAACTGACTTCACATTTGAATTCCTTTTAGTCTCAGCATAGTTTAACATTTTAATGGATCTAATACAAATCATCCTTAGTTTATGCTCCTTTGTCAGTTTAACTCTATTGTGAGAAGTTTATCTGATGACTTTGGCGCATTTATATGTCAGTACTTCTATAAGTCCTTAAGACATTTGGCTAAATACTGTTATTTCTAACTTTAGATTCAACATTGCC